TCACGATCATTAAGTGGAGATCTTATTAAGAAGAAGGATTGCCTCATCGGATTCTGCCTTGATGAAGGTAGGGACTCTTTTAAGAGCTTTATTCCATACTCCCTTATTTAACTAGCTTTGGTAACGTAGCAAAGAAAGGTAGAAACTTTCTAGAATTCCCACCTCCTATGCGAAATTAGAATGAATTTTTGTTTTCCCCAGTTTTTTTTAAATTTCAAAGCGCCTCTTTCAAAATTTTAGGCAACTTTTGTGATGCGATGCCCGCTTTTTTTCTCAACTTTATGATTCTCCGAAAATTCTAGTAGTATGACGTTTTGGTCGTCGTTAGATTGTTTTTCCCAATGATTTATGAAAGAAGTCATTTTCAAAGTGTGTCTAACATGATTTATTACAGTCAATAAGGAAGTGGCCTTTCTCAAAAAAACGTCATGTGCCAGAACAAAAAAAGACAAAGCGATAAATACTGGAAGGGCTTTCGGACAATTTAAAAGTGTAGTACTAAGAGCATTTCCTGAGTCATTCTTCAAGTACATCTACTTCTTTTTTGTCAATAAACAGAAAAGCGTAAAGCTAAAAGTACAAGAACGAGCAAAGTATAGAAATGCTCCAGTCAAATGAACGTGACGCAAACTAATGAGATTGAGTCATAGCTGATTATTGAATGACACGAGTTTAACCAATGAGGGCTAATTTTAGTGCTTACTTTGTAGGTGATATCAGTTTAGGTGAAATCAGATAGACGCTCTATGTCCTCAACTGCGTAAATAATATGCTAAAATATCTTTTCAGATGCAAATTGCATAGAATTATTCCATAATTGCGCAGGAGAATGTAGAAGTTCACTTTTTACTTTAACTTCCGCTTCTAAAGGGTACCTGATTTCCAAAAACTAAGGTTTATTCAGCAAGATAATAAACAAAAGTGAGCTTAATGCATTCCTGCTGTTTCTATGCAATTTAAAAGAAGCGCTGTTTAACTTAGGTTGCCAGGATCATTTTTAGAGCATTTTTTTAGAACTTAGTTAAATCAACGCTGCAGGATAATTGCACCAGCTGTTGTATTGGAATTGAGCTGAAGCGCAAAAAAAATACTTTGAGATGAGATTGACAGGACATAGATTTTTTGGCCGCCGTAAATAATACAATTTTATGTGGGACACGTCCCTCTCTAAATTCACGTTACAATAGAAGGGCCTTCTACTTGCAAACAACCTTTTTCCCACAATCTAACATTTGAATGGCATTTCACTTCCTATAAATAGTGGGAAAAACTACGTTGAACAAATTAGTCGCATCATTTCCCAAAGTACACGGTCCAATGAATCCCGTCCGAAAGGTGGTTGCTGCCTTATGGCAGTGATGTCATAGATCCCTCGAGAGTTTTTTGGGGGAGGGGGGGGGTAAACTCTGTGTTCAAATCGAACAACAAACGCTTACTCTTCGTTAACTCGCAGTACCTCGTATGCCTTAACTGATAGATATCAAAATGACTACATAAACAAAACTACGAATCTGATTTTAGAAGACGAATTGAGGGATCGTTTTCGTGATCATGTCGTGGCTGGACCGGAATTAGCATCACTATCCGGCCTTGATGGAGAACAATGCAAAGATGCGTGCTTTTCCATTCCAGAGGCTGCCATCTATACGTGGTCTCCGGATGATTTGGATGACGATGACGCCACTATCGGTTGGTTTTCATGTTTTTTT